CCCACAGCCAGAGGCAATACCAACTGCATGGATGCAGGGTTTGGTTCATCTGAACGCTGGGGTAGAGACTGATTTAGATGTGAGTTTTAAACTCTGGCTTTAAATGCGTGTGTATTTTGAGCTGGGGTCTCGGTTTGTAAGAAGACTTGAGGTTTGAAATAGTGCAGGAAAAAAAAAAGTGTTGTTTCATATGCCTAATGTGTGGTCTCGATGGCTGCGGTTGCGGGTACCGTCACAGGAATTCTGTTCAGGTGGGTAACTGAACTGCTGATACACAGCAGCTAAAGGCACATTTTTGTGATCATTTTTTGCATGCAGCATTACACATGTGCCTTCCTGCAAATGGCACTTAAATACCTCCCTCCCTGAAATTTGACTGGTATTGATCCACAGATGGAGTGACGAATGAATGAATTTTATTTATGCAGAGGTGAGCCGACGATTTTAATCATGCCACACATTTCCATTTTGTTTAGAAACCCAATCATAGCAGCAAACCAAACAAGAAAAGTCTCCTTGTTTTCTGAATGATGTTATTTGTTTATCTGCCAAAGTGCTTTGCATTTCCTCAGGTCACAGACCAGCCCATGTCTGGCTACGTTAATATTATAAGAGTTATGCAAAAGCAAAGTTTTAAGAAAAATCTTTCAGCTGAAAGAAATAGGATCTTAAAATCCCAAAATAGAGTATGGAAAGGTACACATCATGTCTGGCTTCTCTCTCCCCTTGTGGCAAATGTGACTCAAAGGATTTGGGTTTTTTCCAGCTCGATCTGTATACAGTTTGGGGGAGTTTTATTGTGAATAGGTCACCTTATAATACACAAAAATATTTCCTCCCAGAGTTCTGTATTCATAAATCTTTTTCGATTCTCACTCTCTTGAAACTGAAATCCAGATGATTTAATTTTCTTCACGGAAACAAGAGTGAAAAAGAGTAAAGGAACACCTTGGCGCAGGGCTGGTCCTCTGTTCTCATCTCTGCTGAAACTCCCGTTGCAGGGCTTTGTGCTCTCCCCTTGGGCAGCTGCAAGGAGAGCTGCCGCCTCCCTTCCCAAGAGATAAGCAGAAGAACAGAACTGAGAAACTGAGACTTTTGAGTGGCTTGGCTGTTGAGAGGAAAAAATCAATTTCAAAGTTGTTATTTAAAAAATGTTTTAAGTCTTCACTTCTCTATAGGGTTCTTTAAGGGTCACTTTTGCTCCTTCTTTGCTGCGCCAAATAAAAGATCAGTGTTACAGTTAAATACTAAAGCAGCTGTCTAGCATAGTGGAGGTGTTTATTGAGAGTAACGGTCTCCAGTAGTTCAGTTTTGAGGAGAGACATATATCTGAAACATAGCTTTAATGTGTTCTTTCATTCCAGCTCACAATGAATTTTTCTATATGAAAATGCAGCACAAAATATTAACTCATTTCTGTTCCTGCAGAGTAGGGTTAGCATCACTGATCCCCTGTTACGGGTAAACAGAGAGGTTGTATGACATGACCAAAGCTATGGAGTAAATGGGTGGCAGAGCTGGGTGTAAAACTCTGATTTTAAAGTCCCTGGAGCATTTCTGTGGGCTGTCCATCTTCATTTTTTGTTCCTAAGTCATCCTGAAGTGTTCTTAGCAAGTGAAAGGTAGATGGAAATGCTTATGGCAGATGATCACCTACATTATCCTTTAAAACATAATCAATTAACTCAAGATAAGGACACAACTTTTTAAACGGGGATCTGCAACTCTTTTACATGTATTTTTATCTTTGTATTTGCATTATAGAATACTATTTTGATTTTACAGTGATGTCAGCATTGCCATAATGTCATAAATTACCAAATAATTATGTTACTTTCTTCCACTGATCAAACAGTTGATTTAAAATCTGGTCCTTCACGGGACCTTTGTGTTTTATGCCCCTCGTCCAGCAGATGATATAAACATTACCATAGGAACAGGTAATCAATTCCCCCTTCTTTAAGTAGGTATACATTTATACAGGCACATACCCCCAGACATACATATTATTAGAAGACCATGAATACTTTTACCTCGGGATCTCATTCTATACACGCACAAAAACACCACGTAAAATTACTTTTAAAGATGGCCAGTATTAAAACCTGTGTACGTAGCCAGTTCTGTTACAGCTGCTACTGACTGTGCTCACTGGGGGCAAGTTATCTTTTGTAATTTATTACCTGTTTTCCTCTGTTCCAGTCTCCCACCTCTAATGCTGGGATTTTGCTCTGCCTGGCAGAGGGCAGAGCTAAAGCTGCTTTGCTGTCACTGTAATAACTGTTGCAGTCCAGAGGATCCTATCGTCATCTTAGCTGGATCCACAAAGAATTACTCTTGTCAGGCATGACAATAAACATGCTCAATACTTAAAAACTACTCTTCTCTCTCTCTCCTCTTAAAGACAAGGTGGCTTTTGGTCATACAATGGCTTTTCATTGAAGGCCAGGAAATCTTGGATTTTGAAAGTACCATACTTAGGATGAGATTCAGTATGGCTCCCAGAAGACCTGGGCTCAATGGACCTCCATGGATAAACAGGGGCTGATTCCTACATTCATGACTGTTCCCAGTAGATCTATCATTTTGACCTCTGTTGCCTTTAATCGTCTATGCACTCTATGCGTTTCTAAATCTCCCCATGGCTGCCATCACATTCTTGGCAACGCTGCTTCTCCAACACCAACCCTTGTGCTCGGAGTCCAGCTCCGCTCCTCCTCCACCTCACTCCCAGAGCCAACTGGCATGTTTGCACAAAGCCTCGTACCCTGTTTTCCGTCCTCACAATCTCCCGAAGCGCTTGTGCGAGTGAGCTATCGTAGGTGTCTGAGCTGTGGCAGGGCTGGATTCTGTAATTCTTTCTTGCACAAGCCCTACTTAAGGCCTGTTGACTTCAATGGAGCTATTCATGTAAGTGGAGGCTGCAAATTCAGGCCCTTGGGTTGTCAGGTCTCTGGGGCATAGACCCTGTCTTTGTATGCCTTGCAAATATGTGCTAGATGAGTAATGATAGCTCAGAAGAGTGAGTGTCGCTTTACATTTGCCATACTGAAGGAAGGTTGCCAGGATTGCATTGATGCTGCATGTGGTCCCCTTCCAAGGGGGAATTAATCCTTCTATGCAAAGATACCTCCTGCTGACTGGTGAAAAGAAAAAAGAAAAAAACATGGTTTGGCCATGAATACCATTAGCTTAATCTTCCTTTTCTCTGATCTTCCAGTACTATTTGCTTTGTATGGCTTCATCAAGGTTTTGTATGTGGACAAAATAATTGAAAACAAATTTAGCATGTCTCAGACCATAAAGTTCCCTTTCAGCTAGATCACTGGCTATGCGGTAGATAAATGTCTGGTTTTCATTTTTGGTTATGTGAGAAATTTAGAATGGTTTGATTTGTAATTTTGAATGTTAATAAAGAAGGAGAAGTTTCCTTGTCTCCTGGCCTATGGAAGCATTCTGGCTTTCTTGCTTCTCTTGCAGCAAATGCTGTTTATAAAAAATGTTACTTAGGACAAAAGAGTCTGTTTATGTCCTTGAACCCTAGAGGCCCCAGTCTCTAAGGTCAACTAAGGCCTCCTTGTGCCAGGTACTGTACAGTCACAAATGCCATCTCTACCTGTACAGATAGGATTTTAATGCAGTGCAAGAGAAATGGCTGCAGGTGAACCAACAACTGGGGGAAGGATGAGTTTCAAAGAGCAGTGAATCAACACCGGTCCACATAAGTGATTTCAGGAGAACAAGAACATGTTTCCTTTCAAGACTATTTAAGAATTCTTCGGACAGGGAGATTTGTAGGGTGGAGGTGTAGATATTAAAAGGGAACATCCTCCCTGTCGGAAGAGGCTGATGGGCAGAAAATGCAATGCTGTGAGTGTTTAAGAAGTTGATGCTGGTGTTTGGGGCTGGATTTGGGAAGTTTGGGAATAGGTGTTGATAACTGGGTAGAAAATGGGAAGCGAGAGGGCTAAGAGAAGAGCAGAGCTTTGATGAGGAAGGCAGGCAGCTTATGTCTGGTGTGAGGGACGCAGGGGAAGCTGGAGAGATGTGAAGCTCAGGGTGACTTGAGCAAAGTGAGAGGCTGGAAGGACGATCCTTCTAGCCGGGTTTGAAATGGATGTGAGCTGGGCAAGGCTGCATGTACGAAGGCCAAAGAAAGGGATGTGGCAGGGATCATTCATTTCTGAAGTGTTTGTACATAGTTTAACATTTCAGTTCTCAAAATCGCATGCACATTTGCTAGATACTTCCTGTTGAGGGGGAAAAAGCCTTATCTTTTTAACTGCAGGTGAAGTAGGAATCACAAGCTGAGCTGAGGCAGTTATTTTAGTGAACATTAGGCTGGACAGAAACTAGTGTTTGCAAGTTGGATATCACATAGAGCCTGATTCAAACCCCCCTGCATCAACAGACATTCTCCATTAGCTTTGATAAGGTCTGGAGAAGGTGCATGAGGGGGTACCACGTGTATCTGCAGGAATG